GGTTAACAAACGCTGCATAGATCATAAGTGATGCCTGCGCCTGTTATCTCTGTCTGATAAACCTACAACATAGAACATTTACGTTCAGTCGAATCCATTTTATGTAGTTAGTTTCGATATTAATAAAAATATCAATGTATAAGATAATACTATAAAAATTAACAACAAGTTGTAAAGTTTCGGTTTTTTCGGGGTCTTCGACGCATCCACTGATCACTGCAGGAGACCTATGAACCGAGCCACTTGTTGCCACTGAAGGTAAGGTGAAACTAATAGAACTTGATTATTAACATTTCAAAATATACAAGATCAAGGTGGCAGTAATAAAAATAATAAAAATAATGATATAGTTTAAGGATAATTAATTTAATTTATATCTAATAACAAGTATAAATATATAACACTTTGATGGTTAGGTTGCATGGGTGTAATTATTTACCCCAGTTTATTTTTGATGTGCTATAAATTATATTGTGAGTTTTCCATACTCCATTGATTAATGCTATCTTTTAACAATTGTCATACAACTACAAAAATATTAAAAAATAACTTTTAAACTTCTTATTTGGACAAAATACAAAAATTAAAGTATGCAAAAAACTAATTTAGAGTAAAAACAAATTGTTTTATTATTTCTAACAGAGATAATAGTAAACACTTGAGACAATTCAATAAGCATTGTAGTAAAAATATTTTTATTATTTGAACGGGAAAAATGTATACACCCGCAACACGTTCACACTGCACATAAATGCACCATAATGGTCTGATAACAACAGGTCACTAAAGAGTTTACGGGGAAAATATTTCAAAATGTACCGTTGGCATTAGGTATATAGAGCCATATAATAAGTATAATAATAAACGAAAACAAAAAGTAAAATATTATAATTGTTTTATAATATTGACGAAAGTGAGACAAACACATCGATATAATATAGGTAATTATAATAATACTAAAACTACTAAGGAAATTACCATAAATTATGAAGTGCGTAAAGTTGACCCCCGACACTGTCTGATCGGCTCAGGACTAACGCCGTAGTTTTGCGATTCATTTGTAACCATTTGTAGCTGCGTATTAAATGTTCGGGGAGATAAATATGGATGGAAAAGCCCATAGTGTTATAACAATGATTTTCACTTTGTTTTTTGAAAAACCTAGGTATACATAGTACATACATACATTAATGATGGCGTTTGTCTTTATTTTAATTTTGTTTTTCTTTTAATAATATATTATTTTGATTTTGTTGTATGATCATTCGTCATAGCACTGGATTGGATACTGCTTGAACCACGGCCCCAACTACAGGTCACCGGGCACGAGATATTTTCAACGAAAAATAATGAGAAATGCATCAAAAAACGCACTATTTTATTCATTCTATGAGACATATATTATTATAATTGTTGTCCTTTAATAAAAGTTAGGATGAATGGAGGTTGAGATATTATATATTGAATTATATAATATGTGAAATACTGACAATTTTGTTTAAGACGGGTGGGGCAAGGGGGTTGAGGTAGTGTGTACCTACATTACAAAGTTGAGCAGTTGGAGGTGAAGTTGATATGATTATACTTTAAAACTCGTTTTAAATTTTTTCGGTGTTTTTTTTTGACGAGTCATAGTGTTCGTTGGTAATCATGGTTATAGATAAATACTAAAAAACTATTTTTGAATATTGTATTATAATATTACGATTGACTTCAGACAGTTCAGTGTTCTGGTTTCCAGAGTATTCACTATTTTAGTTTATTAAATATCAGTTATTTTTATAACAAATTGTTTATATTACATCAAACATTTGGTGACGAAAAACATGAAATATTTTAACTTAACGGTTGTTTGGTCAGGCCTAATTTCTATAACGTTATATTATTATATCATACATGACCATTTTGTCAAAAAGTTGTTTAAGCTAAATATTACGGCGTGTTTGGACGTCTCACTTCAGTCACAACGCCACAATCGTTGATATCACTGTAGGAAATTAAAAAAAAAAAAAACGTGTACAACACTTAGTTCAAAATATAGAACCGGACGGGCGCACCGAGAAAGCTCGTCATCGTGGGCCAGTGTACGGACCTGAGTGCATATTATATCACGTAATCGAGTAGGTATAATATTAGTAAATAGCAATCGATAAATAGGTGAAACGTAAACACTGTCTAGATACGATATCGTGTCATCGACCACTATATAGTTGTCGTGTGACGAGGGATAAGTTGGCATTTTGACGGCATTACACTACACAATATTTCACTCGGGCACTATGTTGCTCATGTATATTATAGTACGCAAAAGTGGTGTGCGCTGTGTGGTCAGGGCAAGCGATGTAAGAAGCCCGTTGCCGCTTGAGGAAAAACAATACAATTAATTTAGTAAATTAATAATGTCAATTAGCAATATAATATGTCGTGTTGACATACAGATTTTTTTCTTTAGATATGATATACTCCAATGTTTGTATCGTATTAAATACAAATTAGAACAAATATATTAGATATCTGGGTAATTCAATTATTGCGTTGGTAAGGTATATTATTCTAACACAGATTGTTAATATTCTTATAAATAAATAAATAAATAAAAAAGAAGATATATCATAGAAACGCTTGGGATTTTGATTACTTACCCGGCTCATACCATTATAGTAGGCAAGGCCGGGTGCAGGGAGCGGTGTCCACGGGTTTTGAGCGATTATAAATAGTTTTAGAAACGGATTTTCTGATATCGAACGATTTTTCAAGCACTAATACCCAATATAATAATGTTATTGCTGTTGTACACAGACAGAAAGATTCCGTCACATAAAAGTACCTAAAGGGGCGATTGTAAACGCCACCATAATACCGATTAGATAAAATGGTAACGAAAAGGTCTAATGTAAACTCCAGCACACAGAGTATTGAAATCAAAAGAAATTGGCTGAAAATCTATTTAGGTATCCGAAAATTCTTTTATCATTGAACACTCACTACTCAAAAAGTATTAATGTTTATGATGATATTATTTTTTTACATGGCTTCAAGTCGTTACAAAAGAACGTTTTTATTAATAAATTATATGTCAAAACATTTTTTTTCCTCATAATTTTTTAAGTTTTTACATTTTTGAATTACAACATACTTACACATTTAATATCATATTCTAAAGCAGAATATTTGTAAAGTATTTTAATACATATTTAAGGCGAGTAGTTTCTGAGTTATAACTTTATAAGCATTTAAAGTTTAGAAGAGCGAAATGTAGTGGTACGCGGTTAACCCCAACATTTTGGTCCACTACTCCACTGATCAAAATTTGAAATACTTGTAACTAATTAAGTATATACTGGTCCAAAAAAAATATTTGAATTTCGAAGATGAAATCAAACCTACATGTTGTTATTCAAAATAGTAAAAAGCTTAAATCAATTTACTATAAAGATAAACATTTTTTTTAAACATAATTTTTTAATATTGTATATGCTATTTTTAATTCATTATTCATATAGTTAAGTATTAATGTACTTAACTTACACAATACTAAGGTAATATTATGTTTATCGGGAATTATTAAAAAAAAATAAAAATATAATATACATTTATTTTGTCCAGCTTTTTTCGATTTTATTACACCGTGCGCCATCGTATTCTTACCGTTACCTGTAACGGTTAAAAGGAAACTCTGTCAGTGTTAACCTTCCCACATTAAATACTTACGTTGATATTAGTCTAAACTATTTATCACTGGAGGTTGCCATCAGAGGTATTATTTAAGTTTTGATAACTATTATATCCCCAGGAGGTTAAACAGTCAATGGCCCAGGGACCTGCTTTTAAGCATAATGATATTAACTTAAACTTGTCAGGTGTCACCGATGGCAGCTTTCCAATTCTAATCTTATATGTCATCGTCAAATTTGTTATCAGACTTGGTTACTTATCATACTATGTTTGTATAGATTTTAAATACATTGTTTTAAAAATAAATAAATAAAAAACTATTATACTGATGAGGTATCATTTAATTTAACTACCTATTATACTCTTTTCATGCCTGGTGGTTATAGTTTATGTTTTATTTTTAAATTACAATTAACATTCTTAACAGGTTTTTTTATTGCCTCTGACCAAACTTCAAATACCAGCGCACGCCACAGTTAACTGTTGTACACAATAATATTGTTGTACCCATTGAATTACATTATTCCTGTGCCTAAACATAATATTGTCCATAGCTGTGACTAAAGGTAAAATATTATTACAAATTATAATGCATGGGTAATTCAAACAATAATATTAATAATAACGGGTGATGAAACAATTGCACACTCGTCGTGGGTCCATAATAATGTTTGCTCAACTAATTTTAGATAGCGGGATCAGACCTAAGCCAACGTTTCCCAAGTGACTTGCTCGAATTTTCAAGTCAGTTTTCAGAACTTTTGGAAATACAAGTTTATTGAGTTAACTCTACAAAAAAAACAAAAATCAAAGTTGAGTCCAAGTAGACTCTTGGTTACCTTAATATTCTGACAATTTTATGTCAACCAACGTATTATAGTTACCTAAACAAATGTTTTTATGGTGTTAGCTGTACTACCCAAGTTTTTCTAAAAATTCAACCCTATTGTATCAAAAGAGTTCTTTGATGACTTGACGAAGACAGAAGTTTGCAAAGTAATTTACAAAATCTGCATTTTGCCTAGGCTTTAAAGATAAAATTTGCCCACCCTATTATCCCCAGACATTAATATTTCAGGTAGGTACTATATACTATATAGGTATGTATTATAAATTATAATCATCAGACAGTGTTTTTGAGCATATATTTTTTTTGTTTTTAGTACACGTCAATAATATTGTATACCAGGGATGGGCAACTCAAAGTAACTAGCGGGCCACTTTTAAATACTTTAAAATCTAGCGGGCCGCAGTGCATAGGAGAAAGCAAAAAAAAATTAAAATTTTATTTTTTATCTTTATTTATTTATATTTACAATTATTATTTAATGTGATACTTGAGGATGAGGTTTTTCAATAGACAATTTAGTAAAATCCACTTCTATTTCAGTAGTTGAAACTCTTAGTAAATGTCCCAAGGTTTCATCTGTTAAACGATTTCTTTCCTTCGATTTAATATGTTTCAAGTTCGAAAATGTACATTCGCATAATATGTATGTGGTTCCAAACATAGATAACATTTTTAATGCGAAATCTCTTAGAATTGGATATTTTTCAACTGGTAATGTTTTCCAAAATGACACATCAATCTCTTTTGCAGATAAAAATGGATCTGTTTGTAACTCACATAATTCTAATTGAAGTGAAGGATCTTGCTTTTCAATTTCAACTGCCATAGGATTATTAAATAAATTTATTTGAGGACGCATAAGTTCAATTTCTTCAAATCGTCTTTTGAACTCTACAATTAATTCATCAATGTGGGTAATGCAATGTTCAAAATTAAATTCATTATCAAATTCTTGTTTTATAACTTCACAACACGGAAAATGTATTAATTTATTTTCAACAAATACATTTTTAAACAGTTCCAATTTTTTTCTGAATCCATCTAAAAAGCCTATTATTTGAGATATTGTTTGTTTTCTACCTTGTAGTTGTAAATTTAGTTTATTTAAATGTTGAGAAATATCCGTTAAAAATGCTAATGAACATAGAAATTGTTTATCAACTAATTGATTTTCAAAATAAGTGGTATCAGTTGTAATATTTGTTTTAAGAAAATTTAATATTTCTTTTCTCAAATCAAAAAAACGTTCGAGACACTTTCCTCGACTTAACCAGCGTACATCTGTGTGCAATAATAAATCACCATATTCACAATCAAGTTCTTCTAAATATTTAATAAAATTAAGGTGGTTCAAACTACGGTTGCCTCCTCTAATTAGATTAGTAATTTTAAAATGTACAATGTATACGAATAAACAGAACATCAAGTTACGTATTCAAATGTGTTTGTCAGTTTGCATACTATTGTATTGCTATGAATCTATAAAAATATATATTTATAGGTATGTATCTATTTGTATCACCATACCTTTCAAAATTTTACTTGAAATTCAATAACACCCGAGCCGTACAAAGTTTTATCATGGAGGTATATTTATAATGTTATTTAACAGTAATTATAATTATAAAATGTTTGCCAATGCGACAATTTCGTTAAAATGCTTTGAACGAAAACTGGGCTGTTTTTTTTTTCTTTGACGGAGTGCCTAGACCTCTAGTTTTAGCCTCCGGGCTTCTAGAGGATTTAATGTGAGTTTGTGTTCAGCATGTGTGCGCATGTGTGTGTGGTGTATTTCATTACAGTAACTGTGCAATAAAATTAAAAGACGTCGAGATGTATTGCCTGCAGTTATGGATTAAAATAGGTATACATAGTCCATTCGGAAAATTCCAGAGAAGAATATAGCTGTAATTTTGTTTATTATATTATTTCGAAAAAGGACAGTTGCTTTTATTTGTATAAGAAACATCTTTATGAAGGGCATTTGCCGAATAAATGACCGTTGAATCCATCAGTCACCACTACATGTCGACATGTTGTCAATAAAAGTTCATGTTTGTAAAGGCACCATATATCGTCCAAAAATCAATACTACTCGCGTTCAATATTTATATATTATATAATTGAAAACCAATTAAATACGATATCGTTTTTTAAAAATATAGTTAAAACTAGCTATTTGTTTATGAAAAAAAATATAGGTTCCTCCAATGGGCATAATATTTTTTAAGTATGTCTATCTTAAATAAATTATGAAAAATTCAATCAAAAGGTCCGTGGGGGCTGATTGATCCAATGTTATACGTATGACTGCGACACCATGACCTACATAATATTTTACAGATCTGTAACAATAACAATATTAATAACCAATAACAAGGCTTCAACAAGTTAATAAATTAAGGTAATCTTAACTTATTGGTCTACCAAATTAGTTTGAAGTTTTTATGAACTTAAAATGAACTCTTGTAGAGTAATAATTGGTAAAACATACAAAATATTATAAAAAAAGATGTTTTGATAACAAAGAATTGTGTATTGTTAAAATAAAAACTAATAATAATAATAAATCCAAAACATTATTACGTTATTAAATAGCACATTTTACCAATATTATATATTCTGTACACTCTAAGAATAACAGTCACGAATAATTCATAATATTCGATTATAAGGGATGATATTCGTTAAAACTTATATTTATAACTAAGGTACTTGTACCTATACCAATTAAAAATATGTATAATATATATATTTTTTAATTTCTAACTCACTGCACTGCTTTAGTATTTTACGAATAAAAGGCAATTTCCACAAGAGTGTTCTCCTTCCTGCAAGCAATGATATCATTAACATATTCTACACCAACATTAAATTTTTTGAAATTTTCTTCCAAATTTGACAAATACTTACAACACTTTCAAAGCTTGATAAAAAATGTGATAATATATTTTCAATATTTTTAAATTACTATGGAACAGTGTATATGGGATAATGTGTTAAATTTCCAAGCTCTGTGACCAAGTCCAAATGTTCTTATTAACATAAAAACAAATTTTATTTAACCAATTCAAAAACATCAAATGCCTAAGAACATTATTTTAAATAATTTTAAATCAGTCTTAATATTTAAAACAAATATAATTATATAGGTTTAGAAAATTATAACTGAATGGAAATAGTGGAATGTCTCATTTCCCTGCAGTAAATGTTTTTTGATCACATAATAACAACAATACATAGTTGGAAGATAAAATATTATTACATTACGTGTATTAATTTATTTACCCACTCCATCGTCCTAATTTGAACTTCAATTGCTCAGAAAAAATGTGTATATGGCTTAACAATAAACTGCTTTTTTTTTCAATTGCATAGATGAAAATGTGTGAGGAATTTCGTTTAAGTTTTTCAAACTTTAGGTGTTAATATTAAAATTGTATTTATTTTGAACCTAACATAAATTGCACATTCACATTTTCGTTCACCAGATTCAATAGCGTGCTGTTAGTTTTGATATTAGAGTGAATTGACCTATTAAGAAATTTAAAGTTGAGATTATTATCTATGGCCCCACGTAGCTTTTTATTTATAATATTATTTTTAAGTTAGTTATGATAGTTTTAAAATATACAGCTTCAAAAAGGTCATGACTTACTCAAAAATAATAGGATCAATGAAAGCCTACATGGGGCCCTAGATGATTATATTACCTTATAATTTTATACTTGGTCAATAACCTTCTCATATAAAAAATAACAGCACTTTATTAAATCTGTTGAACGAACATTAGATATGTCGTACGCGTGTAAGACGGAGACAACACATGTGGGTACGGATGTCCCCTTAAATACTTAAAAAAAAAAACTTTTGTTGATATAATATTGTTGATATTTTTTAGTAAGTGCATCAACGTTTTTTTACCCTCAAACTAAAATTATGTGGTACAAAAATCTAAAACATTTATTTTTTGAAATTGAAAATATTTATACAAATTAATAATTATTATATTATCATGTCTAATACGTATTATTATTTTCACTCATTCACATGGCTTATTTGAATATTATCTTTTTATTATAAAATGAGTATAACTTGAAATGTAAATATGTAACTGTCTTAACAGTTATTTAGCTTGGCATTTTATTCATTTTAACCTTAGCTAATAAAATTTCGTTTTGAACTACATTTTGCAACGTGCTGTTGTTATTTTAGCTTTTCAGTGTTGTTTCAGTCACAAGTACACATAAACGTCATATACGATCTCTTTTTTTCAAATTGTCCGATTTAATTAACTTCTTCATTACGATTTGAATAAAAACATACGGTTTTAAAATCATCGATTGCAAATTCAATACATTTCGTAAATTAATCACCTTAGCATAATATATAAATCATTAGTCAATCGTTCTTTAAATCAAACATGATAGAACTTACTACTTAGACCCAGCGGTTATAGTATTGGGGAGGGGGCGCAGGAGGACTCAGTCTCCTTACCTCTGACAGCGGTTAAAAAGCGTCCCCTTTAACAAATCAGGATTTTATACATTAGACATTATAGATAAAATTATAAATGGAACGCTTAAAACTATACATTAGTCCCCTCAATAATTTTTTCTCATTTTAAACCCTGCTTAGACCCCGATGACTTTATATATTTAGAATCGTAAGAAAACGTAAATACCTATATTTGGTACTTTGGATGTGTTTAATTTTAGTTCATCGATCATTATTACCCACATACACAATTAATATATATATATATGTGAGTACATATGCTTCTGTTGTCAAAAAATCAATAACCCAATAATCACAGTGTTTGTAATTTTTTTTTAATGTTGATCAAATCTATGTACCGACAATCACCCGGTCCTATCTCATATTATTCAGGTGTTCAGAAAACGGGACCGGCTGCTGCAGTTTGTTTGGACCTTAAAGCATGTATTTTGATAAATTATTATATATTGTGCACCGACAATAACGTTACAATGCACTCATATTAAACAGGGTGATTCAAAAATGTATGTTACAGCCATTTCATCATATAAATATTCAAAATAGTTGAAAATATATAACAGTGTTTTGATTTAGAACCATATATTATGATTTCAAAATGTAATAATTGTTTACAATATGTTAGGGGTTTTGGGGGGTCAACTTTAGAGATTCAAATGGGAACTTATAATTTTTTTCAAACATAACGTTAAGACAATTTTTAAATTCATTTTAGTGCATGAAGAACGTTAATTAATGCAAAACTATGCTTGAGAGCTATTTAAAAAAAATATAGGTTTCCATTTGGATTTTTAAAGTTGACCTCCCAAAACCGACCTAAAATATTACAAGCAATTTTAAAATTATGAAATCATAGTAGATGTTTCTAAGTCAAAAAATGTCGTATTATATATTTTTCTCTATTTTGAATATTTATATGATAAAATGTCTGTAACGTAAATTTTGAATCACCCTGTGGGTATATATATTATATAATAGTAATAATAATAATAATAATAGCTACAATGGCACGAGGCGAGCACAAACAAACAGTATAATAATAATAATACTGTACTGGTAGCCATAGTATTTCAATCGTTGCGGCAAGGGCGGAGTAGGTGTGTATTATATAATGCACCTACCTATGTTACAAATTACAATATTATTTTATGGCGCCTGCACTGGGTAACGTGGTGGAGACTGTTCGATAAACACACGCACACTCAATATGATACAAATAAAAATAAACCGTGACCTACCTAAAGGTATTTTTGGTTGGGTTTGCGTGGAAATGCGGTATTTGTATTTTTTCAAATTTAATAACGCATTTAA